AAGCCGATTCACAAAAAATTTCATGGAATATACTTTTGTAGTATTTGAAGTTTAGTTTCTATTGTCCAAAAATTAGAGCCATTAGACAATAAAGTAGAAAGTTAGGGCTAAAAATACTAAGGTAATGTCTAATTCCTTTCTATCAAATTTCTTTCCAAAATGTTTTTTAACTCAAGAATATTTTCAAACTTCTAATACTCCCCATATCACCTCTCTCTCAAGGTTTTTCGATCTTATGGATTCAATGGTAACTTAATTTTGAACTAAAACATTTAGCAATTTATCTAGTCACCCTTACCAAGCTTAAAACCACATCTGAAACTAAATTTAATCCAAAAGTTAATATACGCGAAACTCAACTTCATAATCAATCTTTCTACAATGATTCAAAATTTCTACCATCATTGTATTTATCTTAGGAGAAATCTTAAAATGATATTATCCTTATTTAATTGTAGTACGGAGTTTTACATGTTGATTAAACTAAATTAAATAGTTCTTGGGTAAATTAGGATAATTAAAATTTTAGGAGTCAATTTAAAATAAAAATCATAGTTTAGAGGACATTTATCAGATTTACGCTAAATAAAAAGAGTGCGCAACAAATTTAATGCAATTGTTTCAAATGTTTAAGGTACAGAGGTGGAGAAGTTAAAAAAAAAAAAAAGGTACTCATGTGGAGGATTTTATTTGTTTTCTGTGTGATCCAAGCCATATCCCATCATTGATAAGTGTGATATTGGTATGCATGTATAGCATCACCTTAAATTGTAGTTATTCTAATAGAAATTACTGTTCTCATATACCTAGGGCTATTCAAATTTTTAATTATTCGTAAATTCTGATCCTATCTTATCTTATTCGATCTTATTGATCGACTACTCGAAAGAATCGGGTAGATCAACGGAAGACTTTTTGGTGTTCTACAAAAATTGGATAAAAATGTGAAATACCTATAAAAATTTTGTATTCCTACCCTACTGTGTGTGTGTGTGTGTGTGTTAATCCTTAAAAATTAAATCTAAAAATTTAGAAACCTTAATATTTTATTGATGTTTATGATTTTTTTATATATGATGTATTGATATTTATGATTTTCTTGTTGTGTTTTATTGTAATTATTTATATATTATCAAACTTATTGTATTTTTTTTTAGTGTTATTGGTTTATTGTGTTAATCAATAATTGGTTATATTTACTTAATTAAATTGTTAAAATGATTCAAAAATTAATAGCTAAAAAATACATGTTCACCTAATTTCTTACCTGACTTTCTACCCGATTGTTTTGAATGAAATTCAAGTAGGAATAATACATTTGATCGAGTAGGATAAGTCAAAAAAAAATTCTTCCGCAATGTATCAGGTAAAAAAATGAAATAACATAATTCTTACCCGTAAGGTAGGGTAAACACCCCTATCCCTCCAATATCATTATGCTTGCTTACTTTTTTTTTTTTGTTTTGTTAGTGAAGTTTAAATTTACACATTGCCATAACTTGGTTCAAAACAATTCAAAAGTTACTTTCTCGATGTTACAAGTTCAACTCTAGCAAAAAAAGTGTTGATTTGAAAAATTGCATGTTTTGCAAGTGATTAATTGCATATGAAGTTTAACTTGTAGTCATAAGTAAACAAGCGACGACTAAGTATCCTAGAAATGATAGATTCTACGGTTTACACCTTGCCACACATATAGAAAATCATTGTACTAAAGTCAAAGTTATCCTACAATATCAAAATCAAGTCTATCAATGCCCTAATAAAAAAAGGTTCAGGTTCTATTAATCAGAGTAAAGTGCTGTATCTTTACAAGAAAAAAAAATCGCATGCACGAAGTCATCATAAATGCACCTAAAGCCATGTACTCAATAGGGAATGAATTTTTGGCAAAAGTTACTACGACGCATAAGAATAAAAAAAGTAAAAGTAAAAGAAAAAATATACAAGTTGACCCTAACTCCATATTGTCGAGGCCAAAATTATCAAATGCCTTGATACAATTATGAACCCTATAATGCATACCGGCCCACAGATTCTGCTATGGGCTCATATAAAATTCAAGTAGACTGGACTTGTGTTGCCTAATTGTTTCGTTGATAGATGTATGTTAAAGTGTGATGCAGAAAACTTCACACAAGCCCAAAGATTGTCTCTAAACACGAGGTCAAAACTTATTTTTTCGGACTTCTTTCGCTCACATTTGCCACGACCTAGTACACAGCATCAAACAACCCGTCAAAGGTAGATTGGATAAGAATTTTGAAAAGTTTATTAGCTCGGGATTCAAAGTTTGAGTACGACAATACAATCTTAATTTTTGGCAATTCATATAATTTTTGGAGCATACGGAATTTGTATTGCAATTGTTAGTCCAAAAAAATATGTGCTTGTAATGGTTTTCCGTCACCAACAAAAAGAAAGGAATAATAATACGGCTGATACACAAAAAATGGCAATTCGATCAAAGTAATTGGACTATCTGGAGGACGTATGGTGAAGATTACTCAAGCTCAGGTTGGTCTATGGTAACCTCAAGGAAAACCTTTTAGGGCACCCTATAGAAATCTCGAAGAGGATTAACGTTATTAGATCAAAACAACTAACTGAGTTGACCTCCTTATGCACAAGCTATCCTCAACTGGAGAGCTAACCCCAAAGCCAACTCAACACATGACGGACCCTGTCAAAGGTGTACGAGATCGTCACATGTCCAGGCTGGAAGACAAGTTATCATGCCACCACAACATGTTATAGAAGGCTGTGTTACTCCTAGAGAACGTAACCTAACAACTCAGGGAATATTGACTCAAATGACTCAAATATTCCCCTAAAAAATTTCTAACAAACTAGTGAACCACCCGATGCTGACGTCATCATCCCGTATAAATACCAAGGCCCTTAGTCAAGTGGGGGCAAGAGAGAGAAACCCTGTAATCAATCTTTCTTCTCCAAGAAATAAATAAAATTCTCAGGAATAAGAAACTCCATTAGAATGGACTAGTCAAGCTCTATAGCTGACGAACCACTATAATTCCTATGTTCTCTAGTACTCCCAAATCAGCCCTTTTCTCTATTTTGTTCAAATGCTTGCTAAGAGCTTGTTGGCTCCATCATGAATTAACCACCAACTTTCACTCACTCATCAAAACGATACCACCAAGCCTTGAGCTCCATAATTCAAACATTTGGCTTGTATTCTCAATCCAAACATCATCAAATAATAAACTCAAAAGATCTTCTATTGTTTTTTGTTCAATGAACTTAGTTAAAAAGCCTTAAGTAGTTGCAAAGGAGTCACAATGAAGTTGGTTCAGACAAGTCCACGCTAGGATTTAGGTCCACTCCATTATTTTTTTCCTTCAATTTCCTTTAATACAGTATTAGATGAGTAACATGTGTAAGAGTTTGAATTTCAATGGACAATATATATCTTTATTTATTTTGTTGTTGGTAGAGTGTTAACATGGTTAACAATTTTTCTCATAAGGAAAATATCCACCTTGGGAAGAGGTGCATGACCCCCTAATTTTTAAAAATTACACCTTGAACCCTTTTCCTTTTATTGTCCTTCCAAAAATATTTAATTTTGTTCCTTAAAATATCAATAATTGGAGTTTGACCTCCAACATCCTAATTTATATTTCTCCTTTTGACGCCCCAATTTGTATTTTGTGCCTCCATCAACACATCATTTGCATAGTCAAATTTATGCTATTTATAAATGTTAATATCTGTGAATTTTTTTTGATTTTCTAATTTATTTTTAATTATTATTATAAAGTAAATTATACTCACATATTTACTCTCATTCATATTTTATTTTCTATACATGTTTGACTTTTAAGTTCTCTTGAACTCTTTTATAAGAAGCATTAGATTTTGATTTCCTAATTTATCCTTGATTATTGATGATGCACAAATTGAGTTTGTACACCACCTGTCAGATGAGCAGTAATAAATGCAGTAATTAAGAAATAAGATATGGAGACAAAAGCAAAATAAGGTTTATAGTGGTTCGGTCAACGTGAACTACATCCATTTTGAATAGCTAGGGTCGTCGGGTATTTTTTTACTTTAAGTGAGTAGGGAGAGCAAAGAGTTACAAGCTGAGAGAGATGGGAGAGTGGTTGACTAAATGTGATGCCCCCTAAGTGTTGAAGGGGCTTACAATTTATAATCGCCTCAAAACAGATTGAGAAAAGTTATTAGTAATTAGGTGGCTAATCTGGTGGAGCTGGCGACCTCTTCTCAACGGATGAGATGGTTACAGTGCTCTCCATGAGATTCGGTCAAAGGCTGACTTAGGGATTAAACCTTTCCAAGGCGGCGTGGATAAGGCTCCTAAACACCTTGCTTACTCCCTTGGCGAGCTTGACCGGGTGTGGACCCCTTTGGTCTAGATACTAGATCTTCATAAGTTGGGCTTTTAATTTAAATTGGGTTTACAATGTAGGTTGTGCCCTTGGTCTTGAACCATCATTTTCACCCCAATATATTGTGTCTAATGGAACTTGGAGAGGAGGGCATTCGGTTGAATTTGAATTTGGGTTGAATGCATAACTGGAAACAATTCGGGGGGAGGGGCCAAAACATCTGTTTCTAAGCCTTTTTTGATATATAATAAGCCTCGTTTGGAGAAACAGATCAAAAGTTATGGTCAAAATAGCAATCAACCATTCTTGAATTTGGATATCTTGGAGACTCCTTTTGATTGGTGACTTCTTTCCTTCCTATAAACTCCTTTTGTTTGTGGGACATCATTAACTATATAAACTCCTTCTTTTACTTCCCCTTTTAGATTCTTGAAGAGCCCTAAGTTATAAATTAGGGTTTTTTTTTTCTTTGTCCTTCCCTTAATAGGATTTTAAAAAACCCTATGCTATAAATAGAGACTTTCTTCTTCATTATACCCATTTCATACAATTTTGAGAGAGTGGAGGATAGTTCTCTTGCCAAAATCTTTCAAGAAACGTCTTGAGTGGTGCCTGAAATCTATGATGAGTGAGGGAGATGATCGAGAGGTTGTAGTGATCGAAGGAAGAGAGAGCCTTGATGGAGCTGTAGCCTAGATTGATGAAAGCACGCCGCCCCATGTGGCGACTCAGTTGGCTTGGACTGAAAGGGAGGGCCAGGCTACCGAGGTGGGGGCGCCAATAGCGAGCAAGCCCACTGTTCTCATAGGAGATACAAGGGAGAAGGCCAGGCCTCGGGCTAGGGAGGAGGTGCCAGCTGGGCGTGCAGCAGAACAAGTGAGTGTTGTCGGGGAGCGTAGTTGGGTCGCCCAGCTGGGTAGATTATGGAGGTGGCGCTGAGTAGCGTGGTCACCTAGGACCTATGTATCGAGGTTACTGTGGCGATCCCAACACCAGGCGCCAAGGTTGCGGCAAGCTGGGCGCTAGGTGAGGATGGGGCTGAGGCGACCCAATTGGGCAAGGTGTCTTTTGTGGAGCTACTAGGCGAGGGAGACGAGATTGGGCAGGCAGGGACAGCAGTCGAGTCAGCAGGCCATCCATTGGGCAAGCCCATCAGGCGTTGAGCGTGGTCTGTCCACGGGCGCTAATTGCGATTGGGCGAGCACGCCAGACACTTTTTGTGGTGAAGATTCTAGTAATGTGGCAAATGACCTGGCTCCTTCAAGTGTAACTTCTCAAAGTTAGATTCCTGAAGGCCTCCGTGGTAGTGGCTCGGGTAACTCTTCCCACCCACGCAACAAAAAGCACCGTGGAAAGATAGCTCTTGACGACGATGGATCCAAAGTTAGTACCATTTCTAGCGCGCTTAATATTGATGGTGATATTCTGCAGGTAGTTTCTAGTTATAACATTCCTCCAATGGTACTGTGCCATCGAGCTGAGATGGGTGAGCCTGCTTATGATGATTCTTCTAGAGACATTGCTATCTATGAAGAGATGCTTATGGCTGGGCTTAGGTTCTCAATGCCTTCTTCTATTTGTCGTATTCTGCATTATTTTTCATTGGCACCAGGGCAGTTGGCCCCCAATGGTTGGAGAGTTATGCTAGATTTTCTGGCATTGTGGAGGAAGGTGCACCATGAGGATGCCTCTTCTGACGAGCTTTATGCAGCCTATAATCTGAGTGAGACTCCTGCTCCTAACTGAGGCTGGTACTATTTTACTACGAGAGGAAGAAAGTTGATTACTAGATTACCCTCCAACTGTCACAGCTGGAAGTTTCGTTTCATGTTTGTCGGTGGAGAGTCGCTTTAGATGGTGATAGGGCTTTGGTATCAACAGGATGGGGTGCTCCTAAGAAAGTTGATACGCCTTTTATACTTACTCTTCTCTCATCGCATTCCTTGCAGGCAGTGTACTCATCACATTCCTTCTAGATTCTCCTGTGCTCTCAAAGGACCAAGAGTGGAAGTCTTAAGGTGTAAGGGCTGATCCTATAAAGGACTTTGGAGCTCTCATGCTCAAAGATGGTGGAGCTAGTGGTTCCCCTGCAATTGGTGCTAGGGCTGGTGCACTATTTCCAGGATTTGGTGGTTCTTCTTTGAAGAGAAAGGGTATGTTGATTCTTTTGTACTTTCCTCCATTACTTGGTATTTTTCATCTAGATAACACATTATCTCCTTTGTAGTGGATAGAATAGTGGTTGGGTCCCGCTACTATAGTGGGAGCACTCCTCCTACTAAGGTGGTGAGGATGAGCAATGTCTCCCAAGTGACCTCTCTAGTGGTGCCGCCCGAGGTAAGCTCCTCTCAAGTGACCCCTCTTATGGTGGCTTGGGCGGGCTCCCCTCAAGCGACCCTTCCAGTGGTGCTTCCTTGGTCAGCGACTCCTAGTGCTACTCTAGAGACTCCCTTGTCGACCACACCTACTGCCCCTATTTATTGCTTCTCCTGTGGGAGCTTCTATAGGGGCGCCCACTCAGGTTGGCCCCATGTTGAATGTGCGATTCATAGGGGAACAACTTGGGAGATTCATGTTTTCGCCTGATGTTAATGAGCTTAGTGCTCTAGTCACTAAGGGAATCATCAACACCTTTCTGGGAGGCCTGGCTCAGGTAAGGGTCGGATGTTTGTCTCCTTTTCTCCAGTCCCTCCTTATGCATTTGACGTTCCTTTGTCTTTTGTCCTTTTCAGGTTTCAACCGCATCTGTATGCTTGTTTTCAAGGGCCCATTATTACAGTTAGCTGAAGCAAAGTCATGAGGCTGTAACTAGGGAGCTTCTTATTGCTCAGGGGAGGATTGTTAAGCTTGAAGCTACTAGTAGGGCTTCTCAGGCTGAACTTGTGGTGACCTATGAGAGGGCCGCACTTAGAGAGGTTACTTGCACGAGGGCTAAAACAGAGCTTTCCATGACCCATGAGAGGGCGGGTAAGCTTGAGGCTGACTTTTTGGCGACCCGTGAGAGGGATGCGCTTAGGGAGGCTGAGCTTTTGGAGACCTATGAAAGGGCTTTGCTCAGAGAGGTTGCCTGCTTGAGAGCAAAGGAAAAGGCAAAGGCGAGGGCAGCTTACGAGATGAGGCAGATCTACTGTTGGCTCGTGAAAGGGCCATCAAGGCTAAGAGTGATTTGAAAAGTGGTTTTGCAGATACCTTCATTGATAGTTATGAGGAGTTTCGGGGAAAGATCTTTGTTGTTTTCCCTGATATTGATGTTTCAGGCTTCGTGCCATTTAAGGTGCCTGGTGATAGCAATGGAGGCTTTGATGGTGATAGTGATGCCGAGGAGGAGGACGACGACAATGAGAGTAGTTAGCGTGCTGGAGACTTTTGATGTTTTTTTTAGAAAGGCAGTTTGTAACCTTACTTTGTAAAAGTGGTTTTTTGCCACTGATGTTCTTTTTAAAATAAAATGCAAAGAATTTTTGAAATCAACTTAGAAAATTTCATTCATTCACTACTTATGTCAAGTAATAGTGGGTAATAACCCCAAAAAAGTTACAAAAAATAAAATCAAGTTCTCCAATTATATCTACTCTGCTAAGGTGTTATTAATAGTACCTCTTCAGGTGCTCAACACTCCATGGATAGGGCAAGGCCTTCCCCTCGAAATTCTAGATCTTCCAGGTGTCTAGCCTCACTACTTTTGTTATGAGGTAAGGTCCTTCTCAGTTTGGTCCCAACTTTCCTTCTCATGAATCTTTTGTGGTGAGAAGCACTTTCTTGAGGACTAAGTCTCCTAGTTGGAAGAAACGAGGATTCCCCCTCGAGTTATAGTATTTTGCCATGCGACACTTATACTCTGCGTTGCGGACCACAATCATCTCCCTTGCCTCCTCCACCAAGTTGCGGTTGATGTGGAGTTCTTTCTCATTGGTGATGGGGTCGTGGTGTTGAACCCTTAAAGAATGTACCCCGATCTCCACAGGAATGACTGTCTCAGTTTCGAAGGCGAGGGAAAAGGGTATTTCTCCAGTTGGGGTTCTCGACGTCGTTCGGTAGGCCCATAACACGCCTGGGTGTTCGTCAAACCCAAAGACACTTTGCTCTTTCGAGCCTTGTCTTTAGGTTGTGTAATACTGTTCTGACCATAGCATTGTAACTGATGATGGCGTGGGGGTATCCCGAAGCGGTAGATCAAGTTTTTGCAGATTAAATATTTGACCTTCGCGTCTGTTATCTTTGTCAAAGGTTCGACCTTTACCCATTTAGTGAAGTAGTTGACGGCTATCACTATGAACTTGCATTGTCCCTTGCTCAGAGGTAAGGGGTGTAGGATGTCGATGCCCCATTTGTAAAAGGGCCACGGACTTGTGATGACTGTTAGCTCACCTGGCGAATGCTTGGACATAGTGGCGAAGCGCTGACTTTTGTCACAATTCTTGGCGAACTCCTAGGCGTCTCTCACCATACTAGGCCAGAAATAGTCCTGTCTGAGTGCCTTGTGGGTAAGGGAGCGCCCTCCAGAGTGATTCCCACAAACCCCTTCGAGTGTGTTTAGATGTTCGGAAAGGATTGGATAGGATATCAAATTTATATCCATTCCTACCCATGCCTAACCCACCACTCACTTGCATTGGTTTGGATATATGTCATATCTGATGTTTGGTGAGTAATTTTTCATTTTGTGGGACTCACAGATATGAATGATATCAAAAACATTATTTAGGTTAACTTGACCATTTTACCCCTTAACTTTTTTCGGGAAAAAACCACTTCAACAAGTATCAATTTACATCCACAACCATCCATGTCCCAGCCACATAAAATTCGTCCAGAACCATCCATTTTCACATCCCCAAACCCTCTCTCTCTCTCTCTCTATGACAATTGGGTATAAACTCACACACAAAGATATATATATATATACACACACAAATAAACTTATATATAAACTCTCTCTCTCACACACACACACATATATATACAAATCAACTTATATATAAACTCAAACTCACACACACACACACATAGATATATATATACACACAAAAATCAACTTATATATAAACTCAAACTCTCTCACACACACACAGATATATATATAAACTCATACATGCTGATTTTTTTTGTAAATCAGCCCATCTCCAACCACAATTAAAAAACCCAATTCAAAAACCCTTGATATTCGTCGTGCTAGTATACCAATCAATTAGAGAGAGAGAGAGAGAGANCTCCCTTGCCTCCTCCACCAAGTTGCGGTTGATGTGGAGTTCTTTCTCATTGGTGATGGGGTCGTGGTGTTGAACCCTTAAAGAATGTACCCCGATCTCCACAGGAATGACTGTCTCAGTTTCGAAGGCGAGGGAAAAGGGTATTTCTCCAGTTGGGGTTCTCGACGTCGTTCGGTAGGCCCATAACACGCCTGGGTGTTCGTCAAACCCAAAGACACTTTGCTCTTTCGAGCCTTGTCTTTAGGTTGTGTAATACTGTTCTGACCATAGCATTGTAACTGATGATGGCGTGGGGGTATCCCGAAGCGGTAGATCAAGTTTTTGCAGATTAAATATTTGACCTTCGCGTCTGTTATCTTTGTCAAAGGTTCGACCTTTACCCATTTAGTGAAGTAGTTGACGGCTATCACTATGAACTTGCATTGTCCCTTGCTCAGAGGTAAGGGGTGTAGGATGTCGATGCCCCATTTGTAAAAGGGCCACGGACTTGTGATGACTGTTAGCTCACCTGGCGAATGCTTGGACATAGTGGCGAAGCGCTGACTTTTGTCACAATTCTTGGCGAACTCCTAGGCGTCTCTCACCATACTAGGCCAGAAATAGTCCTGTCTGAGTGCCTTGTGGGTAAGGGAGCGCCCTCCAGAGTGATTCCCACAAACCCCTTCGAGTGTGTTTAGATGTTCGGAAAGGATTGGATAGGATATCAAATTTATATCCATTCCTACCCATGCCTAACCCACCACTCACTTGCATTGGTTTGGATATATGTCATATCTGATGTTTGGTGAGTAATTTTTCATTTTGTGGGACTCACAGATATGAATGATATCAAAAACATTATTTAGGTTAACTTGACCATTTTACCCCTTAACTTTTTTCGGGAAAAAACCACTTCAACAAGTATCAATTTACATCCACAACCATCCATGTCCCAGCCACATAAAATTCGTCCA